TTAACTGAAAAAGTTATGTCAGGCCTTGTAGTATTGGCAAGATACATTAGTGCACCAATTGCACTAAGATATGGTACTTCAGGACCAAGTAGCTCTTCATTCTTTTCTTGAGGTCGGAATGGATCCTTATTCACATCAAGTGATCGAACAACCATCGGAGTACTTAATGGATGTGCTCTATCCATGTAAAACCGTTTCAATACCTTTTCTATGTAGGTAGATTGATGAATAAATATTCCGTATGCCAAATGTTCAATTTGCAAACCAAGACATAATTTTGTCTTTCCGAGATCTTTCATCTCGAATTCCTTCTTTAAATAATCAATTGCCTTTTGGAGTTCTATAGGAGTTCCAATAAGGTTTATGTCATCAACATATACGGCAAGTACAACAAATTCCGATGTTGTTTTCTTTATAAAAACACATGGGCAAATGGCATCATTTATATAGCCTTCCTTTAATAAATACTCACTAAGACGATTATACCACATTCGTCCTGATTGCTTTAGACCGTACAAAGATCTTTGCAATTTGATTGAAAACATTTCCCGGGATTTTGAATTATTTGCGTTTGGCATTTTAAATCCATCGGGAATTTTCATGTATATCTCATTATCAAGTGAGCCATAAAGGTAGGCGGTAACCACATCCATTAAATGCATGTCAAGCTTTTCATTGACAGCAAAACTAATGAGATAACGGAACGTTATAGCATCCATAACGGGTGAATATGTCTCTTCATAATCGACACCAGACCTTTGTGAAAATCCTTGTGCAACAAGGCGTGCCTTATATCTTTGTACCTCGTTTTTCTCATTTCTCTTGCGTACAAAGACCCATTTATAGCCAACAGGCTTAACACCATTAGGTGTTTGGACTACAGGCCCAAAAACTTCACGTTTCGCAAGTGAATTCAACTCTGATTGGATTGCTTCTTGCCATTTTGGCCAATCAAGTCTTTGTCGACATTCTCCAACAGATTGAGGTTCAAGATCCTCACTTTCTTGCATAATGCTAGATGCAACATTATATGCAAAGACATAATCCACCACTATATCCACTCGATTCAAATTTGTCTCAATATCGATTGGATTTATTGATAGTTCCTTATTTTCTTGAGTCTCGGGATTAATGGATTCCTCATGAATCTCATAATTTATTAAATCGTGGATTTCTTCATGAGATTCTTTCGTAGTGTCATTTTGATCATTTGTTTTTCTTTTTCTAGGATTTTGATCTTTGGAACCTAATGGTCTGCCACGTTTAAGGCGTGCTTTTGACTCATTAGCTATGACACTAGAAGATTGTCCAATAGGGACATCAATACAGATTGGAACATTCTCCGCAGGGATATGTGATTTTGTTATCCTTTTCATATCCGTAAATGCATCTGGCATTTGATTTGCTATTCTCTGCAAATGAATAATCTTTTGCACCTCTTTTTCACAAATAGAGGCACGTGGATCAAGATGAGATATTGATGGATTTTTCCACAAAATTTCCCGTTTGGTTTCACCAACTTCTCCCCCTAATTTTGGGAAGAGTGTCTCATGGAATCGACAGTCTGCAAATCGTGCAGTAAACAAATCCCCCGTCAATGTTTCGAGGTAGCGAATAATGGAGGGCGATTCAAAACCAACATATATTCCTAACCTTCTTTGTGGACCCATTTTGGTGCGATGTGGTGGTGCTACAGGCACATATACTGCGCATCCAAAAATTCTTAAATGGAATATATTAGGTTCATGACCCAAAACTAATTGCAACGGAGAATATTTATGATAATTTGTCGGCCTGAGACGAACTAGCATTGCTGCATGCAAAATGGCGTGACCCCAAACAGAAGTGGGTAACCTCGTTTTCATGAGTAACGGTCTTGCTATCAATTGCAGACGTTTAATTAAAGACTCCGCAAGGCCATTTTGAGTGTGAACATGAGCTACATGATGTTCCACTTTTATCCCAATTGATAAGCAATAATCATTAAATGCTCGGGATGAAAACTCAGCAGCATTATCAAGTCTAATAGACTTAATTGGATTATCGGGAAATTGTGCCCGTAATCGAATTATTTGTGCCATTAATTTTGCAAACGCGAGGTTGCGAGATGACAATAGGCACACATGGGACCATCTAGAAGATGCGTCTATTAAGACCATAAAATATCTAAACGACCCACTAGGTGGGTGAATAGGTCCACAAATGTCCCCTTGTATACGTTCCAAAAACGCAGGGGACTCAATTCCAACCTTTGTTGGTGATGGTCTAATAATTAACTTGCCTTGATAACAAGAAGTGCAAGAAAATTCGTCATTTAAAAGAATCTTTAAATTCTTTAATGGATGCCCATTTGAGTTTTCTATAATTCGTCTCATCATAATTGATCCAGGGTGTCCCAATCGATCATGCCAAAGTACAAAAGTATTGGAATCGGTAACCTTTTGGTTTACAATAGAATGTGCCTCAATTGCACTAATTCTTGTCCAATACAAGCCACAAGACAAAGATGGGAACTTCTCAATAGCCCTTTTCTGGCCAGAGACATTTTTGGTAATGATGAGATATTCAAGATTATTCTCATCTATTGTCTCAATATGATATCCATTTCGACGGATATCTTTAAAACTCAACAAGTTCCTCTTGGACTTGGAGGAGAACATTGCATTCTCTATGATAAGTATTGTTCCCTTAGGCAGAGTTATAGTAGCTCTTCCAGAGCCTTCAATTAAATTACTACTACCAGAAATTGTAGTAACATCTTCCTTACACATACTTAAATGAGAGAAATATTTCTTCTCTTTGAATAATGTATGTGTCGTACATGAATCAATTAAACAAATATTTTTACAATTGAACTTTGATCCAAGTTTACCTGGAGAGATATCGACATTTGTTTGATCCATTGAATAAAGACTGTTGCAGGTTTTCTAATCTTGATTCACAGTTGAAAAGTCTTCTAAGTCTTGATCAATTGTTTGCTAATTCTTCTCTAAGAGGTAAGTGAAGACAACGAACACTACTGACTTACATACACAACCTTTCAGCATAGGCGCAACTGGATATTGAAAACATAAAACATGTTTCTTAATCTTCTTGAGACGGTAGAGTCTCGTGCTGATAACGTGTTATAAAATAATAAAAGAAGAAGAACAATATTGCAGAGAAAGAGAGGGAAAATTCTTATTGAATTTGGGATGAATTACAATGGAATAGAACCCTCTATTTATAGGGAGAGGTTGACTTAGCCACCAAATAATAAACCCTAGAATCTCTCTAAATATGGACATTTACCATAAATAGAATTCTATTTATAACAAGAAGTATTATATAAATTGGAAATTAGTTTTACGCTACTTTACTTTTTAATCAGTTTTCAGCATGTGATTCATGTATGTTCGGTCATGCCTATGTATATCTTGGTCAGTTTGCACATTAATTATAATTTATTATCTGTCTATAAAATTGTGGGCTCTAATGAGAAAGAAATGTAATGTCTGTAATGTATGATTTATCTATTAATTTACAAATTGATTGACTGTATTTTTATCCATGTATCTAATGACTACATGAGATCACATACAATAACAGTTATAATTTGATCTTAAAGTTCACCAAAGTTACCTTCTATACAGCTCGTGCATTAAAATGTTTACATGCACTATAGGGTTCGTAAGACGTACGAAGGTTACACACATCGCACCTTTTGTTGATCATATTAAAACCTGTGGATAAGTCAATGATAAATTTCATCTTGAAAATTTTGTTATTATTAGTCGTATTTTGTTGTAAAACCATAGTGAAGATTTTCTTGATATTTCAAGGGTAGAAAAACCTTTTTTAATTAAATAATGCAGATTTTACTTCTGTCCGTCCAAAAAAAAAAAAAGGTGCTACTAATTGGTTAAATATGAAGGAAAAAAACGACGTAGCATTTACTGGCTAAAGAAGGATAATCAATTTTGTAGTTCTTCCTATGTTTGCTTTTTGAAAGCATTAAAAGCAAACAAATTAGGAATTTCTTTTAGTAGGATTATGCCGCTATAATTCGGACAGTAGTAGTAGTATGAACATCAGGGCTATCAATGACTCCTACTTTTGTAATGATGCATATTAAATATACGTAGGACTGGCAAACGGGCGGGTTCGGGGCGAAAACGGGTAATTAAAAAAACGGATAAATTATTTGATCTGACCCATATTTAATATGGATAAAAAATGGGTTAACCGGCGGATAATATGGGTAACTATATTATCCATGACTTCTTGCATATGATCACTTTTGAGAGAATTCTTAATTCTCCCTAACTTGAGGACCTCCCAGTTTGAGGCTTTACAAATGTAAAAGTTAGACCTATTGGTTATCCTTTGGTTACCAATTTTTTAACTAGATAATACGGTTCTTATCCATATTTGATCCGTTTTTAAAAAGTTCATTATCCAACCCATTTTTTAGTGGATAATATAGGTGGTTAACTGTTTTCTTTTAACCATTTTGCCACCCTAACTATATATAATATAGTAGCTCTTTTTAACCGAAATAATTAAATTCTGATAAAAAGAAGTACAATTGTTCAAGAACGCCCTAAGTTACTCAATCTTTTATGTTTCTGTACAAGCTTAGCTAGCTTATTATATTACGACTTCCTTGATAAATATCATATATGGTTGCAGAAAACTTATTACCAATATTATTATTTATAAGTTTAATCTTTTTCTTCTTGAGAACACATATATGAGTAGTAGTCAGGAAAAATAAAAATTGCATTTCTCTAGTTAAATGAAATGTAATTAATGTAAATATTTGTTAGTACTAAATTCTTTCCAAATATCTTGGGTCATCAATGTCTCCTTCCAGCTATGCAAACAAATGCAAAATCTTCCATATTAATTAAAGAACATCTTCATATTTGTATATAACATTGCCATTCCAAGCAACAAAAAACATCTCAATATCTACCAAATACTTCCACCTTGTTTGCATATTTGTCGAGGACAAAAAAATGACAAGGAAGAAGGTGAAGTTAGCTTTCATAACTAATGACTCGGCAAGAAAAGCAACATTCAAGAAAAGGAAGAAGGGTCTGATGAAGAAGGTGAGTGAATTAAGCACTCTTTGTGGTATTGATGCTTGTGCTATTATTTATAGCCCTTATGAGAACCAACCTGAGGTATGGCCAAACACCATGGGAGCTCAACGCGTGCTCGCGGAGTTCAAGAGAATGCCAGAGATGGAACAAAGCAAGAAGATGGTGAATCAAGAGAGTTTTATGAGACAAAGAATTGCAAAAGCGGGCGAACAGCTGAAGAAACAAAGCAAGGAGAATAGAGAGAAGGAGATGACTGAAGTTATGTACCAGTGTTTGGCTGGAAAAGGGATGCAGAATTTGAATTTGGGAGATTTGAATGATCTTGGTTGGGTTGTTGATCAGAATTTGAAGGAGATTAATAAGAGGATTGAAGCATTTAAAAAAGGGGCTTCCTCTTCTTCTTCTGCTGCTGTTGTATCACAGGCTGCTGCTCCGCCGCCAGTGGAGCAAAAGCCAGTGGTGGAATTAGGGTTGGAGGGGATGCAGAGGACACAAACAGAGTGGTTTAATGATTGGATGAATAACAACACAAGTGAACAGCAGATTGGATTTGGACATGGAGATGAGATGATTATGCCTAATTTTAATGATAACCACAACACTAGCATGTGGCCTAATGCTTTCTTTCCTTAGGTTTATATTTCATGTTATGTAATCCCTTCTGCATGGAGTTTCTTTTCTGGATTTTTCCTTTCACTTTTTTTTTTATCCTTGTTATTTTCTGAACCAGATTCAATTCGTAATGGGTTTTTATCTTCTACTTAATCCTTATTTTTTGCTTTGTCCATTCGGTATTTGATTGTTTAGAATTCATGGTATCAGTAAAAGAAAGAAGTGATAAATGAAACTAATGTGTGGTTAATTGAAATTGGCAGTACTCCTTGTGCAAGCACGTAACACGAGAGAAATCCAAGAGTTGCTCTTTCATATCGAAGTGCTGATATGAGAAGAAAAAAAATGGGATGTGGATTTCATTTCTGTTGATATCACATATTTCAAAACATGACGTTACTATTGCCTGTTTTATGAATTATGGACGTGATTGAATTTGGAAACTTATAAAGTGTTGCAATATATACCGTTCTACAAAATATATAATCTGACCATGAATTCCGTGCATTATTGTGAAATTTAGTAGATAACGATGAATAGTATAGAATATTTTTGATATGAACCCGATCTGCCCATTAATTTCAACTTTATTTCCAACTTAGAATATGTACTACATGAAATAAGATTTAGGGTGGCGATGTTTTATTGCGGCCTCTTTAGTTGTCACCAAAAGTAGTATGATATGTTGCTCTTTGAAGTAACGACTTACCTAAAATCTATTTTGTAGCGCATTTGTTTATTTTTAGTGGCAAGTTTAGTCGCTACAAAAGCTAATAATAAAACAATAATAACAACAACATGAGCGGATGCAAATTCACACTGTTCCAAGCCTTGGTTGAAAAACTTCTATGCAAAATAAAATAAGAATGGTCTCGATCAGCCAATATTTTCTATGGGCAAAATACTACTTTAAAGAATAATTTACTTGGCTTCAACAACTCACTCTATGTTAGTTACTATTAGAGCGCTCCATGAAATAAAATTTTCATTAATGACGTTCTGTGGCTACTTATCTAAACTTTATTTTGTGGCATATTTTTTTGTGACGAGATTAGTCGCTACAAAATCTAATAATAAAAATAATATAGCACCACTGTTGGTGACGACTTAAGGGATCGCCACATAATATTGTTGAAAACTTAATTTCTTGTACTGATGTCTGGCATATCTCAATCTTTGAATACCACCTTTTAAGTGAGCTATCACATCACATATACAACACAAACATGATAAATTTCACTCTGGTGCTTCAGATAGATTGCATTTGCTTAAAAAGGTTTAAAAAATATACATATACCTGTAAATTCAATACAATGCCCCCAATAATACACTCCGTTAATTGATTAATGACAATCTCACAAATTAGTGGCAACTACCAAGTGGTTCTTCCTTTGAAAAGCAGTTTCAATACAGAATACTTTTAAAATTATTACTATAACATATATCTAGGCAAAGTCATGTTCAGATATGGACATAGAATGACCGACAGCGATATTTTTATTCTTTTATAAAAAATAAAAAATAGGAGTCTGATTAGGGTGAGGATATTTGAGGATTCGTAAGAATTAAGATGATATTAAAGTTGCTTTGTTAATCCAATAGTATTATATTTTAATATTTCAATCTTCACTTCTCAAAATATCATTAGTCCTTCGCCAACCTTCATATTCTCTTAATTCAGCAGTGCAAGTGAGATGGTCAAATGGCGTTCACTTCAGAACCTTATTCCAGCTAGACTTAGCTATTTGTCACTAAGGGAAAACAAATACCCTTTCCCACCCCGTTTAAGGTTCTAAAGCGCGGATTGGTCTCGATTACTATTGCACGCTTTTACCCGTCCCATTCCTACCAGTCCCAGAGGCACTTAGGACTACTATTCCTAAAGGGAAGGGATATTAGGCTGATTTGTTTCAAAGGATAAAATCTAAGGCGACATACAAAAACACGTACTGCATATTGGGGAGAACACATAAACAGATAAAGGCTCATATACACCTCCTTCAACAAAAAACACATAACTAGCATGACTTGCACATACTTTTTTAGGTCCGATTAAAAATACTAAAGACGAGGGTAGTTTGATTCAGAGCCAGATTCATCAGATACCTCAGATAAGAAGCCCAAATCAGGCCTGCCTGCTGGTTGGAGCAGTTACTAATTAACAAAGGCGAATTCAGTTTTATTGATATTATTACCTAAGGCTTGCCTAAGTGTTTAAACGGAGTCCTATAGGCATGATACCTACTTTATTTCAGAAAGCGGCGAAACAGTAAAAAAACAAATTCTTTGAGATCCTATAGGCATGCTTGCTAAATCTCGTTAAGTAAGGGAATTAGATTGTTTAAAATTGATTCAGAATAGACTGATTTTAAAATGGACCAGTTTCACGTTATGAAGGTGATGGTACCTATTATTGCTGATTTAAACCCTAAGAACATGATATCTAACATTGAGTGTGAATGCAGCGAATCAGATTTATTTAAGAACCCCCTGTAGGCATGATTTCTATATGTTACTGATTTCAGCATTACGAACATTACACTTATTTTCAGCTGTTTAGAACCTAAAACATGATATCTAAGTGGCATGCTGAATTTAAATACGTCCTATATGCAGGTTATCTAGGTGTGACATTGATCATGGAGAAAATGAGATAAACCCTATAGACATGGTGTCTAAAAATGCATAATTGAACACAAAGAATTTAAATAGTCCTATAGGCAGGTTATCTAGGTGTGACATTGATCATGGAGAAAATGAGATAAACCCTATAGACATGGTGTCTAAAAATGCAGAATTGAACACAAAGAATTTAAATAGTCCTATAGGCAGGGTTTCTACCCCTGAGCATATATGATCACCCAACCCTTTTCACTAGCCATTCCCAAATATTTATTACAACTTATTACAAACCAGAAATACTGAATACCAAAAGAAATAATGAAAGAAAAAGCTACAACCATAGGAAAGCCTGATTTGACTTCCTATTTGAGATATGCAAGGAACCGTATTTTTGCCAATGCCATGATTTCAAAGCCTTTTTCAGACCTGGGTGTGTCAGAGTTCCCTAAGGGCCTCAATAGGACCCCGGGCAGTGCTCACACCCAAGTTACACAACCAGAATAGAGATGAGTGCAGTGTGGAAAAGTCAGCCCTCATATGTCCAAGTTCAGAGAGAGCTCATGAAGCCCCAAGGCAAGACTCACATGGGGGGGGGGGGGGGCAGAACTTAAGTTCTATGAAGATAGTGAGAGTGCAGGAATAGAGTTTTAAGGGCTGAGGGAATAAAGGAGAGGGAAAGGATGATGGGGGATAGCCATTAACATTTCAGGGAATTAATAACTTCACAAAAGGGGGTAGGGGATTGGGAATCCATTTCAAAGGAGCCTATACACTTGGGCATGGGTTAACTTTGGGCATGGACAGCAATAGGAAGTGCTGACATGCCTGTATATCAACCAGAACACACAACATATAAGGGAAACATGGAGGTTTTGATCCCAAAGGGATCAAGTTTAGGTCATGAATAGCAATGTTCAATGCTGTCATGCCCCAAACCAACCACAGATACTAACTACATTAGGGATAGGGATTCAAAGTCCACAAGCTATGATAAATAATAAAAGCATTTATTCAGACAGAAGGGCAGAACATAGCATGAATTAAAAATGGAACTATCTAAATACAAACAGGAGGCAGACTGGAAGGAAAGAAATTGTAAAGAAACATGTTGTTGTGATGCTAAAAAATTAATCAGAACATACCAGTTAAAGAAGCAAAGTGCAGTAAAGAGAGTAAGCAGGACTTCAAAGTATAGCCTTTGCTTTCAGCCGGCTAATCAAACAGTAGCACAAGTTGTAATAAGCAAGAGAGAGAATTTTCTTTTTGAGTGTAAGTGTGTGTTCATAACCAAAAAGTTCGTGTGTTTGTGTTAATGAGAGAGTATGTATATATAGTAGTTCAAAACTAGGTAAAATAAGGCATGAATCATAATAGTATAGTAATTATGGAACTCAGAATCAATTAGAGCAAAATCAATACAAGCACTCCCATAATTTAAGGGAATTAGTTCAAACGGTAAGGACAAGTAACAAATAAGGAAAGAAATCAATGTACGACCAACAAGGAAAGATTTCAAGTTCAGTAAGTATAGGGTAAACAATTAGGGCTAAGTTCAGAAAACTCTAATTATGGAGATAGTCAATAAGAATCAAAAACCAATGTGGAAAAAGGTACACAAATCAATCAAATTGAGTAGATAGGGTAGGAATCGAAGGTTTAAGGGAAAGTGTTCAAATCAGACCTAGAAACAGGGAAATCAGAATCAATTAAAGAAAGTCATGAGTCAATGTTTTGCATATAAATAAAGTAAGACATAGATGGTTAAGAGTCGACATACAACTCTAGCAAACATGAGAGTCAAACAATACTGATTCAATGAGAAAGAGGCAAGTTTTGAACAGTTAGGATGAACACAAGCACATGGAATCAGTGTAAGTTTAGGCTAAGAAACTGACTAGAAACATATCAAGGCAAGATAGTCACGAAAAATCATAGAAACTCAAAAACGAGAACCGGCCAGTCATGCTGATACACAAAACCAAACAAAGAACTCCCTAAAAAATTAGTGCTTTCAACATAGACGAGTTAAAGATGTAGCAAACTCATAGAATCAGTCAAGATATGCAAGAAATATAAGTTAAAACACAAAGTATCAGTTAAACAAGGTTTTAATAGAAGTTCCGAAAACCCTAGTTTTAGAAGAAGGTGAAAAACACTTGAAACCGCATGATTCTTGTAGAAAACCTTAAGGACAGTGTAAAACATTAAAGGAACAAACTCAAATCGTTCTAGGTCTATGTAGACTAGGAGATATAGGCAGAAATTAGGGTTTCAGAAGAACCCATAATGAGACGAAGAAACCTGTCCAGAAACTCAAAGATCGTGACCAATACAGCGTGATTTTGCTCGAAATCACACTGGAGTAGCCAAGAACAGACAAGTGAAAGACCCTAGATGCAAGTCGGCATGGCCCTGGGCCCTTGAAGACCTTAGAGAAGGAAAGAATGGCATGAGAGAAGCCATTAGAGGCTTAGGAGTCGATG